GGGAAGAAGAGAAGGAAAGGAAGAAAAAAGGTAGAGAAGGAAAGAAGGAGGGAAGGAGATAAAGGAGGAAAGGGGTAGAGAAGGAAGGAAGGAGAGAAAGAAGGAAAGAAAGAAGGAAGGAGGGAGAGAAGAAGGAGGGAAGGAGAGAAGGAAGAAAAAAGAAGGGTAGAGAAGGAAAGAGAGAAGGGGAGAGAAAGAGGGAAGAAGAGAAGGAAAGGAAGAAAAAAGGTAGAGAAGGAGGGAAGGAGATAAAGAAGGAAAGAAGAAGGAAGGAAGGAGAGAAAGAAGGAAAGAAGGGTAGGGAAGGAAGGAGAGAAGGAGGGGAGAATGAAATAAAAAATGAAAGAGGGAAGGAAAGAAGGAACGAAAGAGAAAGGGAAAGAAGGAAGGAAAGAGACAAGGAAGGATGGAACCGAAGAGCAAAGGGGACGAGAGACAGGGCCTTCTCGGTGGTGGCTCCCCGGCTGTGGAATGCCCTTCCCACAGATATTAGATTAGCACCATCTCTAATGGTTTTCCACAAAAAAGTAAAGACCTGGTTATTTGTGCAGGCGTTCGAATAATTAGTGCAAAGACTGGTAATGACATAGGAATGGAACAATGGATGACTAATCTGGATCATGTTTTTAGTGACGAGATGCTAGTGAATGGTTATCATAGTAATTGTGTATTAATTGTGTATTCGATTAGGTTATTAACTGTTTTATATTGGTGTTTGAATTCTGCTGTGTCCTGTGTCTTGTGAACCGCTGTGAGTCGCCTTCGGGCTGAGAACAGCGGTATAGAAGCAAAGTAAATAAATAAATAAATAAATAAATAAGGGAACGAGAAAAGAAACAGGTAGAGAAGGAAAGAAGAAGAAGGGAAAGAACAAGAGGGAAGGAAGGAAAGAGGGATGGAAGGAAGGAGAGAAAGAAAGAAGGAGAGAAAGAGGGAGGGAAGGTTGGCCACAGTAATGGATGGCGGGTACAGCTAGTAGGTCATAAACTGCAGTTTGGACCGTGGCAAGAAACAGTGAAGCTGTTGTAACAGGCAGGTTGTGTCATGGTTAATTGTTTTGTTGAAGCTTTTTGAACCAGCTGAAGAATGTCTCTAAGATGTGCGCTAATGTCCTCCCAGCCACACCTGAAACCTGGGTCACCAGATTCCATACCAAACGCAGGGAGTGCCCCTCCCCTAAACTGCATACTTGTGTCTTCAGTGGTAACACAACCCCATCCAGCACAGGTTGAATTCTTATTCCTTCACCTGCCTTCTCACTGACCAGCAGCACCTTTGTCTAGCCTGGGTTAGCTATCAATTTGTTTGCCCTTCTCCAGCCCATGACTGGTGAGAGACATTGGTTTAGTTCAGCTGTGGGCAAACTTGGGCCCTCCAGGTGTGAGTGGACCCTCCCTCCCTCCGTCCCTCCTATTACTGCATATGCATGCATTTGACTAAGTTTCTGTGGGGTCACCTCTTGTGTGTGTGTGTTAAGGGGAAAACACCTGGTAAATCACAATTCACTCCCTGAATGGGGCATAACTTGGGGAATGTTTGTAATGTACTGAATCACTTGCTTCAGAACTTACTCGGAGTAAGTTCCTGGCTGAGAGCCTACTATGTTGTTTTGCATTGAGTCTCATTATTAAGAGAAAAGCAGGACGCTGATTAATGAAATGATAAAAATAATGACTGTTTTGCGTCCTTTTTAGGACGTTGTATTCCCAAGAACACTGCCTGTTTCTGTCTTGAGAGAGAACAGGACAAAGAAGCGAAAGCCCGATTCATCTGGCTATCATTTATGTATCATGTCAGGAGAAAATTGAGAATACAGTTATTATTTATTTATTAACTAGCCGTCCCCTGCCACACGTTGCTGTGGCCCACTCTGGTGGTCATGGAGGTTCTGTTAGGGAGGTTTGGCCCAATTCTATCGTTGGTGGGGTTCAGAATGCTCTGTGATTGTAGGTGAACTACAAATCTCAGCAACTACAACTCCCAAATGTCAAGATTCTATTTTCCCCAAACTCCACCAGTGTTCACATTTGGGCATATTGAGTATTCGTGTAGAGTTTGGTCCAGATCCATCATTGTTTGAGTCCACAGTGCTCTCTGGATGTAGGTGAACTACAACTCCAGAACCAAAGGACACTGCCCACAAAACCCTTCCAGTATTTTCTGTTGGTCATGGGAGAACTGTGTGCCACGTTTTGTTCAATTCCATCGTTGGTAGGGTTCAGAATGCTATTTGATTATGGGTGAACTATAAATCCCAGCAACTACAACTCAAATGACAAAATCATTTTTTGAGTGAAGGACATACATTGGGTTGTTAGGTGTCTTGTGGCCAAATTTGGTGTCAATTCATCCAGTGGTTTTTGAGTTCTGTTAATCACACAAACGAACATTACATTTTTATTTATATAGATTAATTATTTACGTCACTTTTATCCCGCCCATATCAGCCCTAAGGCGACTTAGAGCGGCGTACAAATCGGTACAATTAGATGCCATATAAAAATACATACATCGGTTAAAAGCAACAAAAAAACCCAAAAAACACTCACATCACAATACATTTAAAAACCATAAAAGCAATAAACAATAAAATTTATAAAAACTATGTCTTCTTGTTCAAATCCTCAAACGTTCCATCGTCTTAGCTGTTCCTAGTTCATATTCCAATTTGAAGTTATAATGTACAGAAAAACCACAAACAACGATAATTACTTGGCATTATACGAAATGTCCTTTGACCACTTGGAGTGCCTCTGTGTCGCTGTGAGAAGGTCCTCCATTGTGCATGTGGCAGGGCTCAGGCTGCATTGTAGAAGGTAGTTTGCTCTTCTCCACTTTGTTGCCCCATTTCTTAAGGTGAGCTCTGCATCTCGTGGTGCCAGAGTGCAGTCTGTTCAGCACCTTTCTAAATCGATTCATCCGGCTGGGGAAAAGGCTCTTCTTCCCTTTGGGAGAGGAGTGGAGGGACATTCTGGAATACAAATGCTGGAGGTGGTGTTAGAGGCCCTAAATTGGGTCTTTTTAGGTCTGTGTCGTCACGGGAACACGTAAGGAAGGAGACAGTCCCAAAAGAGATTGAAAAACAAGGTTTTATTTTTAGTTTCTTCATGAAGAAGACGGACAGCCAGGCAACATACACAGATGCTACCCTTCAAGTGACTGCCGTCCCCCCCTTGGCTTTTGACCACCATTATATAACCTCAAGTAGCAACAGTCAGAACTGACCACGGAACAACAGACTGGTTCAAGATTGGGAAAGGCGTACGGCAAGGCTGCATACTCTCACCCAACCTTTTAAACTTGTATGCAGAACACATCATGCGAAGATATGCGGGGCTTGATGAATGCAAAGCTGGGGTGAAAATTGCTGGAAGAAACATTCACAACCTCAGATATGCAGATGACACCACTCTGATGGCCAAAAGCGAGGAGGAGCTGAAGAGCCTTCTAATCAAGGTGAAAGAAGAAAGCGCAAAAGCAGCTAAACGTCAAAAAAACAAAAACCCAAGATAATGGCAACAAGAATGATTGACAACTGGGAAATAGAGGGAGAAAACATGGAGGCAGTGACAGACTTTGTATTTCTATGTGCAAAGGATTACTGCAGACGCAGACTGCAACCAGGAAATCAGAAGACGCTTACTTCTTGGGAGGAGAGCAATGACCAATCTCGATAAAATAGTGAAGAGTAGAGACATCACACTGGCAACGAAGATCCGCATAGTTAAAGCAATGGCATTCCCTGTAGTAACCTACGGATGTGAGAGCTGGACCTTAGGGAAGGCTGAGCGAAGGAAGAGATGCTTTTGAGCTGTGGTGCTGGAGGAAAGTTCTGAGAGTGCCTTGGACTGCGAGAAGATCCAACCAGTCCATACTTCAAGAAATAAAGCCTGCTCATTGGAGGGAAGAATAGTAGAGGCCAAGTTGAAGTCCTTTGGCCACATCATGAGGAGACAGGAAAGCCTAGAGAAGACAATGATGCTGGGGAAAATGGAAGGAAAAAGGAAGAGGGGCCGACCAAGGGCAAGATGGATGGATGGCATCCTTGAAGTGACGGGATTGACCTTGAAGGAGCTGGGTGGTGACGGCCAACAGGGAGCTCTGGCGTGGGCTGGTCCATGAGATCACGAAGAGTCGGAGACGACTGAACGAATGAACAAATATAACCTAAAGTAAACAAGAACATTTTTTGTCCCTCTTTCCAGCCCCTCTCCCTTGACCTTTTGATGCAAAGTACTTTCTTGTACATGCAGACTCTGCACTTTACTACAACCTTTGAAGTTAACCACAACACATCCTGTGTAAGAAAGTACCTTCTACATGTCACATCTTGTTTCTTAAAAACATTTTCTTCCGTATTGCTCTTTTTCTACAGAGAAAGGGTATACTTTTATTTTGTTGTTAATTTCATTCAATACTTAGTATTTGCAAATTTCGCTCAAAGACCCTTTCAGTGGGTCTCTTCCCTCTTCTGTCACCTCTTTCCCTCTTCTGTCCTGAGGAGAGGGAGGAAGGGGGTGGGGTTCCTTCTTCCCTTGTGCAGAGGTAGCTGGCCCTCTGCCAGGTAGGCTCAGGGAGCAGAGGTCAGCAGGAGGCAATGAGGGCAGACTCAGGACCCTTTTTATTTACTCTGCAGAGGAGCAAGGTGCTCTGGAGGTCCCTCTGGAATCTATCAAGGGGTCCCTGCTTTCCTGCCTTTTTCTCCCSCTTCTTCAGAGGAGGATGCTGCCTTCTCAGCCTCGTCTGCCTCTGCCTGGGAATGGGATCTGTGGGGCCTGAAGGAGGGCAGARAGAGGCTGCAAGGACAGGGTCCCCACCACCTGCCCCCAGAGAACCTGCCTGGAAAATGATTTGGAGAGATTCACAAAGGATGAGAAAGAGATAGCAAAGGACCCAGCCATGGAGAAGACCCAGGGCAATGGTTTTGGTCTTTGGGAAGGAGAGGATCCCCTTGAATCTTTTCTCCCCAGATCCAGAAGCCAGTCATTAATTCAGCRTTCATGGCAAAACATTATCCTGTCTTGAGACTATTCCCATGAGCTCATTCATCTTGTTTTCTTTGCAGGCCCCATCAGTTCTCTCAGCCCTCCAACTTTGAATGTCATCTGAGGGAAGACGTGGACATACCTTTTGGAGTATGCCTAGAGACAGCCTAGAAGCGTAGAACCAAGATGGAAGGGGAAGAGCCAGTTGTCACCCAGTTGGAAGTATTTTCTTCTGCTGTTGAGGCAGAGAACAATAGAACACTATGGGAGGACCCTTGGAGGAAAGACCAGGAGAGCAGTCTACTCCACTCAGACCTTCAGCGCCGGAGCTTCAGGCAGTTCACCTACAAGGAGGCCTTGGGGCCCCGAGAGGTCTGCAGCCGCCTCCACTCTCTCTGCCGCCTTTGGCTGAAGCCCCAGCGACACTCCAAGGCGGAGATGCTGGACCTGGTATTCTTGGAGCAGTTCCTGGCCATCCTTCCTGCAGAGATGGAGCGCTGGGTGAGGGAATGTGGGGCAGAGACCAGCTCCCAGGCCGTGGCCTTGGCTGAAGGATTCCTCCTGAGTCAGGAAGAGGAGAGGAAGCAGAAGCCCCAGGTGTGTGTGTGTGTGTGGGTGTGTGAGAGAGAATAATAATAATAATAATAATAATAATAATAATAATAACTTTATTTGTACCCCGCTACCATCTCCCCAAGGGACTCGGTGCGGCTTACATGAGGCCAAGCCCACAGCACATCAATAAACAAAAGCAATAACTATAATCAATACAAAACAGTTAAAATAAACTCAAAACAGAAAATACACAATAAGCAATAACAATAACATATCACAACATACTGTTAGAGACCCGACCTTTTGATGGAAAGTACCTTCTTGTACATGCAGCCTCTGCGCTTCAAAAAACAACCTTTGAAGTTAACCACAACACATCCTGTGTCAGAAAAGTACCTCTATATGTCACATCTTAAAAACATTTTCTTCCGTATTGCTCTTTTTCTACAGAGAAAGGGTATGTCTCTCTTTTGCTGTTAATTTCATTCAAAGCCCCTTACTTTCTTTCACTCAGAGACTCTTGAAGCCTCCTTCAATACAGCATTTAAAAACCTATGGCCGGGCCAAATGTAATAATTCAAATTTAAAATCAAAAAGTCCTGGGCATGAACAAGGTAAGGCAAATTAAAATAGGGTTTTCAGAGAGAGATGAGGGCGCGCAGACAACCCTAAGTCAATATTAAAGTGCATGTGAGGACATATTGCTAAGAGTTTTCCTTATTCTGGGAAGGCACACTGGAACAACCACGTTTTCAGGCTCCTCCTAAAGACTGCCAACGTTGGGGCATGTCTGGGTGAATTGCAGAGTCGCGGGGCCACCACCGAGAAGGCCCTTTCCCTCGACCCCATCAATTGCACCTGCGAAGAAGGTGGGAGCGTGAGCAGGGCCTCTCCAGATGATCGAAGAGAACGTGTGGGTTCGTACACAGAAATGCGGTCACGCAGATAGGCTGGTCCCAAACCATTCAGGGCTTTGTAGGTAAAAACCTGCACCTTGAATTGGGACCGGAAAATGAACGGCAGTCAGTGGAGCCCCTTAAACAGGAGGGTTGACCGCTCCCTGTAAGAAGCACCGGTTAGTAATCTTGTAGTTTCAAAGAACCAAGAATAAGTGCTTTGAAGCATAGTGTAAAACTCTTCTGAACTCCTCAGGCCGGGGTTATCATATTCACTGCCAGGTAGCTAACTTTAAGAATAATCGAAATAAGTTGGAACGAGTTCAGAGAACCATTAGGAAAGGAAGACATTAGGAAAGGAGGACCCAGGTGTGTTCACCCTGGAAAAGAGACTTGGAGTGCCACGATTCCTCTCCTTTCCCCAGGGTGGTATCACCAGGTATAATGATCTGAAGTTATAGGATGGTAAACTCTGAAGATTAAAAGGAACGTATTGAGAATTCCAGTGGTGTGTATTTCAGAGGAAGCAACTGGCTGAACCACTTTTGAATATTCTTTCCCTAAGAAACTATATGTCATTCACAGGTAGAGATAACTCCACAGGGACCTGAAAGCACAGATATACAGACTTAGGTTACTCAGCCTGAGATCCCCTCTAGGGTTGACCCAAAGTCCAAAATACTTTCTTTATCACGGCAGTAGCCCTTCCACTTCAGACCTAGTCCTGAAGCAGAGTGCAATGCCCAAACGAAGGCAGAATTCGCACACCAAAATCGAGGAGAGACGGATTCTTCTACAGAATGAAGGAAACCAGTCTTGGGTCCCAACCACAATCCAAGCGGTCTGGAACAGGTTGCAGAACGAGAGCCCTCCCTCCTTTTCTAATCTGTCTTTGTGATCTGTGCTGCTTGTTCAGGTGCAGGACTCTTTTGTGAATGAGACCAACCAGGTGGAGGAGTCTCCTTCAGACACCATGTGCGTCGCCCAGACTGGAAATGGAGAACATACCACAGTTGGTAAGTAAGGAATGGGGAGTGGTGATAAAATAATAGAATCATTGAGTTGGAAGAGTCCTCATGGGCCATCCAGTCCAACCCCATTCTGCCAAGAAGCAGGAAAATCCCATTCAGAGCATCCCTGACAGATTGCCATCCAGCCTCTGTTTAAAAGCCTCCAAAGAAGGAGCCTCCACCAAACTCTGGAGCAGAGAGTTCCACTGCTGAACAGCTCTCACACTTAGGAAGTTTTTCCAAATGTTCAGGTGGAATCTCCTTTCCCTTCGTGTCCTAGTCTCCAGGGCAGCAGAAAACAAGCTTGCTCCCTCCTTCCTATGACTTCCCTTCACATATATATGCATGTCTCCTCTCAGCCTCTCTTCTGCAGGCAAACATACCCAGCTCTTCAAGCCACTCCTCATAGGGCCCTTCGTGCATGCTCACCTCCTCTTGAGTAGACAAGAAATGTCTGAGCTGCGTGAATTAAAAACAAACATTGGGAAGCCAGGGAACTTGAGAACGCTGTTGACAGGAGACATTTCTCCACAATACGTATTTGCGCCACTTTCAAAACTACTACTTTCTTTTGCTTCTATCTGGATACTTATGGCGGTGAATGTTCTCTTGGCTACATTGGCACAAATACAGAAACGAATGCAGTCAACCCTCTACGTCAGTGCTTCTCAACCTGGGGGTCGGGACCCCTGGAGGGGTCGCGAGGGGGTGTCAGAGGGGTCACCAAAGACCATCCTGAAAACACAGTATTTTCTGTAAGAGTTGAAAGTCTATGGGAGGTAAAGGTAGTCCCCTGACATTAAGTCCAGTCATGTCTGACTCTGGGGTGTGGTGCTCATCTCCATTTCTAAGCCGAAGAGCCAGCGTTTTCCGTAGACACCTCCAAGGTCATGTGGCCGGCATGACTGCATGGAGCGCCGTTACCTTCCCGCCGGAGCGGTACCTATTGATCTACTCACATTTGCATGTTTTCGAACTGCTAGGTTGGCAGAAGCTAGGGCTGACAGCGGAAGCTCACGCCGCTCCCCGGAATCAAACCTGCGAACCTTTCGATCAACAAGCTCAGCAGCTCAGTGCTTTAACCCACTGTGCCACCGGGGGCTCTGTGTGGGAAGTTTGGCCCAATTCAGTCGTTGGTAGGGTTCAGAATGCTCTTTGATTGTAGGTGAACTATAAATCCCAGAAACTACAACTCCCAAATGCCAAGGTCTGTTTTCCCCAAACTCCATCATAGAATCAAAGAGTTGGAAGAGACCTCATGAGCCATCCAGTCCAACCCCATTCTGCCAAGAAGCAGGAATATTGCATTCAAATAACTTTTGAACACAATCAGTGTTCACTTTTGGGCATATTGGGAATTCGTGCCAAGTTTGGTCCAGATCCATCATTGTTTGAATTCACAGTGCTCTCGGGATAGGTGAACTACAACTCCAAAACTCAAGGTTAATGTCGACCAAACCCTTCCAGTATTTTCTGATGGTCATGGGAGTTCTATGTGCTATGTTTGACTCAATTCCGTCATTGGTGGAGTTCAGAATGCTCTTTGATTGTAGGTGAACTATAAATCCCAGCAACTAAAACTCCCACAGGCAAAATTAATACCTTCCCCCAATCCCACCAGTATCCAAATTTGGGTATATTGGGTATTTGTGCCAAATTTGGTCCAGTGAATGAAAATACATCCTGCATATCGGATATTTACATTACGATTCATAACAGCAGCAAAATGGCAGTTATGAAGTAGCAACAAATCTCATTTTATGGTTGGGGGGTCACCAAAGCATGAGGAAGTGTATTCAGGGGTCGTGGCATTAGGAAGGTTCAGAACCACTGCTCTACGTTTTCTGGGAATAGGTCACAAGACCCCCATAAAACAAAACAGTCCACATTAAAGACCTGGGACCAAAATTCAAGGAGGGGCAAAGGGAGAGTGACGGGCTTCAGAGGGAAGGAACTGTGGAGCAGCCTGGGAAACGGACTGATCTTGCCCTCCCTGATGTCTTTCCTCTCTTTCACAGGAGGTGAAACACGGCCAAGTGAGAGTAGCACAACCTTTCCTGATTCTTTCCTAAGAGGAGATTCTGCGGGACTAGGTCAGGTAGGCAGCAGGATCCCTGGAGGGGAGGGGAAGCCCAGTCTCCTTGTCCCTTGAATATTGCCCTGACTCTCAATGAATCTTCTACATGTTTTCAATTGATTAACTTATTCAAAGACGTAAATCACAAATAGCCTGTGCACCCCCCCCCCCCCCCACTTGGGTGGCATTTTCTGCTTGCAGATAACATTATTTTTGTCTTCAGGTGACTTTTGAAGACGTGTCTGTGGATTTGTCGGAGGAGGAGTGGGCCCTCTTGGATCCAAGCCAAAAAGCCTTATACCAGCAAGTCTTGGAGGAGAATTTAGAGATGGTGTTATCTCTGGGTAAAGCGCCATTATGCTTGTAGTTAACCAAATCCGTTTACAAGTTCCAAATATTATCCAGTGTTTCAGATCTCTTATACAAGGAGATAGAATCAGTAGAATAGCCTGAACCTGAGCCATTTAAGTCTGTATAGGTCATAACCACCAATTTGAATTGGTTCTACAAACAAATTGGCAACCAGAGGAGCGATGGCAGCAAATTATTATTATTATTATTATTATTATTATTATTATTATTATTGGGTTGTTGTAGGTTTCTCCGGGCTATATGGCCATGTTCTAGAGCAGTGGTTCTCAACCTGTGGGTCCCCAGATGTTTTAGCCTTCAACTCCCAGAAATCCTAACAGCTGGTAAACTGGCTTCAAACTACAAGAGAGGAGATTCCATCTGAACATTAGGAAGAACTTCCTGACTGTGAGAGCCGTTCAGCAGTGGAACTCTCTGCCCCGGAGTGTGGTGGAGGCTCCTTCTTTGGAAGCTTTTAAGCAGAGGCTGGATGGCCATCTGTCAGGGGGTGATTTGAATGCAATATTCCTGCTTCTTGGCAGGGGGTTGGACTGGATGGCCCATGAGGTCTCTTCCAACTCTTTGATTCTATGATTCTATGATTCTATGATTCTGGGAGCTGTAGGCCAAAACACCTGGGGACCCACAGGTTGAGAACCACTGTTCTAGAGGCATTTTCTCCTGACGTTTCTCCTGACATTATGTATTTATGTATATATTGATTTCTCCATACACAAAAAGTAATACCGTTCTGTCACCGCTGGGCCTGTATTTGGTTGGCTTTAAATATAGGATGTGTAACCTTTGCCCAGCGGGAAGCCAGGGGCCTAAGAAGAAGTTCTCAGAGGTTTCCACTACAAAAGAATCTTTATATGGCTTGAAAAATACAACAACGTCTTTTATTAATGAATCAAACAAACAGGTACTTCAAGGCTTTCTTGATAAAGAATTAGTTCTTTCAATTTTGCCCACAGGGGACAGGCACTATCTTCAATAACTTTTCTTGAAAGGAAAAACCCCTTTTTAACTTCTCCCAAGGCTAACTAAAATCCTAACCTTCACTGGTCTGGGCTCCGCTGCCAGGCCGAACTGCTTCTCGAGCGCTGAGAGGACCTACCAGCAAGGCAATGGATGTTCTCCAGCTGGAGTTCTTTAGACCTTAAGGCTGTCTTCCTGGAAACTCTGGAGATTCTGTTAGAGTTTCTGTGACCCTGGAATTCTTAAAGGTTGAAGCCTTTGTACAGGGGAAGTTGCACACATCCTATACATTGGTTAACCTGGCTGAAACTAAACTAACAAAATGGCTCACTTCCCTACCAAAGCCCAAAAGGGGGGCGGGACCAGGGAACCCAAGGATAACTGACAAGCAATTGACCCAATAAGTGCAAAGTAAGGAGAGCCATCTAACTGCAAAGGCACAGAACTTCAAAATACATGCAGCAACGAACAAATAGCAAGATAAGCTGGAACTCCTGGTGCGGCTGTACCAAAACAAATACAATATATACCAGTCCACACTTGTGAAGCTAGCTATATTAAATAGGTATTACCACATGCCTCACTAATTCCCAAATAGAGAAAATCAGTAGGGGTGCTCAAAAAACATGGACTATTCAGGGATCGTGTCATCTCTGGGTAAAGCTCCATTATGTTGTAGTTAACCAAATACATTTACAAGTTCTAAAACTCATCCAGTGTTTTAGATATCTTCCTCTGAAGCCATAGAAAATAAGCTCATTCCATATCCCACATGGGTGGCAGCTTAAAAAAAGAACTGGCACTTTGCTGGAGTTGCCATATTGTATGAAATTTAGGCCGATATTTATTTTCCATCCACCAGCAATGCTTGTGATGGTGTGGGAGTGAGACGAGGGCTTCTCTTGAGGATTGTAAGGCCCAGGTAGGTTTGTACAAGCAGGTACATGAGTCAAATAGCCTGGACCTGAGCCATTAAGGACTTTATAGATCATAACCAGAAATTTGAATTGTGTCTGGAAACAAATTGGCAGCCAGTGGAGCGGTGGTAGCACATAATAATAATAATAATAATAATAATAATAATAATATTTCTTATCTGCCTCTCCTCAGGGGTTAAATTAGGAGAAATATAATTTAATCAGTAATCTAGGGAGTGTCAAAACAGAGAGAATGTCAAACTCCAGTTGTATGCATCTTCATTTGGTGCTTTTTAAAATGGCAACTTTATTCTGACTTTTTATCTGAATGTGGATGTTTGTTCTGTTGCCTGATGCCATGAAATTAAGGTCACATATCTTTGTCGTATGAGGAAGATCAAGGGTTTTTACCTTTCTTGTGCCAGGAGTACAGGGGATTCAAGAGAAACTAGGGCTAAAGAAAACAGTTCTATTTTCCCTAGTCCTGGTAGAGTTATGATTTAATTCGAGACTTATATCCTGGTATAATATTTAGAGCAAAAACAAAACAGATTTTTTTTTAACTTAACAGCCAGTGTTGGAAAGGGTGTTGGGAAAGGACTGTCTTGACTAAATACATGTTGCAATTTGTATACATTTTAACTTTAATACAACTTTTTATTTTCAACACATGGTCACACTTCCCTTGTTCTCAAACTATGTAAATAGAGAAGATGCAATTTAAATCTTTGGAAGAAGGAAGGAATCTCAATAGGAAGGAAGCACCCACCTTTTCTCAAGAAACCCACTCAGGAGAGAATCCATTTAAATGCTTAAAGTGTGAAAAGAGCTTCAGTCACAAAAGAAACTTCATTAGTAACCAGGCAACTCACACAGGAGAGAAGCTCTTTATATGCTTGCACTGTGAAAAAAACTTCAGTCACAAGCACATCCTTATTAGTAATCAATCAATTCACTCAGTAGAGAAGCCATTTAAATGCTTGCAGTGTGAAAAGAGCTTCAGTCACAAGAGCAGCCTTATCCATCATCAGGCAACTCATACAGGAGAGAAGCCATTTAAATGTTTGCAGTGTGAAAAGAGTTTCAGTCAAAAGAGCAACCTTATTAGTCATCAGGCAACTCACACAGGAGAAAAGCCATTTAAAAGTTTGCAGTGTAGAAAGAGCTTCAGTCACAAGAGCAGCCTTATTAGTCATCAGGCAACTCACACAGGAGAAAAGCCATTTAAATGTTTGCAGTGTGGAAAGAACTTCAGTCACAAATGCAACCTTATTAGTCATCAGGCAACTCACACAGGAGAAAAGCCATTTAAATGTTTGCAATGTGAAAAGAGCTTCAGTCAAAAGAGATACCTTATTAGTCATCAGGCAAATCATGCAGGAGAGAGGCCATTTAAATGTTTGCAGTGTGAAAAGAGCTTCAGTCACAAGAGCAAGCTTATTCGTCATCAGGCAACTCACACAGGAGAAAAGCCATTTAAATGTTTGCAATGTGAAAAGAGCTTCAGTCAAAAGAGATACCTTATTAGTCATCAGGCAAATCATGCAGGAGAGAGGCCATTTAAATGTTTGCAGTGTGAAAAGAGCTTCAGTCACAAGAGCAAGCTTATTCGTCATCAGGCAACTCACACAGGAGAGAAGCCATTTAAATGTTTGCAGTGTGAAAAGATCTTCAGTCACAAGCACATCCTTATTAGTAATCAATCAATTCACTCAGTAGAGAAGCCATTTAAATGCTTGCAGTGTGAAAAGAGCTTCAGTCACAAGAGCAGCCTTATCCATCATCAGGCAACTCATACAGGAGAGAAGCCATTTAAATGTTTGCAGTGTGAAAAGAGTTTCAGTCAAAAGAGCAACCTTATTAGTCATCAGGCAACTCACACAGGAGAAAAGCCATTTAAAAGTTTGCAGTGTGGAAAGAACTTCAGTCACAAATGCAACCTTATTAGTCATCAGGCAACTCACACAGGGGAAAAGCCATTTAAATGTTTGCAATGTGAAAAGAGCTTCAGTCAAAAGAGATACCTTATTAGTCATCAGGCAACTCACACAGGAGAAAAGCCATTTAAATGTTTGCAGTGTGAAAAGAGCTTCAGTCACAAGAGCAAGCTTATTAGTCATCAGGCAACTCACACAGGAGAAAAGCCATTTAAATGTTTGCAATGTGAAAAGAGCTTCAGTCAAAAGAGATACCTTATTAGTCATCAGGCAAATCATGCAGGAGAGAGGCCATTTAAATGTTTGCAGTGTGAAAAGAGCTTCAGTCACAAGAGCAAGCTTATTCGTCATCAGGCAACTCACACAGGAGAGAAGCCATTTAAATGTTTGCAGTGTGAAAAGATCTTCAGTCAAAAGAGCAACCTTATTAGTCATCAGGCAACTCACACAGGAGAGAAGCCATTTAAATGTTTGCAGTGTGAAAAGAGCTTCAGTCACAAGAGCAGCCTTATCCATCATCAGGCAACTCACACAGGAGAGAAGCCATTTAAATGTTTGCAGTGTGAAAAGAGCTTCAGTCACAAGAGCAGCCTTATTAGTCATCAGGCAACTCACACAGGAGAGAAGCCATTTAAATGTTTGCAGTGTGGAAAGAGCTTCAGTCACAAGAGCAGCCTTATTAGTCATCAGGCAACTCACACAGGAGAAAAGCCATTTAAATGTTTGCAGTGTGGAAAGAACTTCAGTCACAAATGCAACCTTATTAGTCATCAGGCAACTCACACAGGAGAAAAGCCATTTAAATGTTTGCAGTGTGAAAAGAACTTCAATCAAAAGAGCAACCTTATTAGTCATCAGGCAACTCACACAGGAGAGAAGCCATTTAAATGTTTGCAGTGTGAAAAGAACTTCAGTCACAAATGCAACCTTATCAGTCATCAGGCAACTCACACAGGAGAGAAGCCATTTAAATGTTTGCAGTGTGAAAAGAGCTTCAGTCACAAGAGCAGCCTTATTAGTCATCAGGCAACTCACACAGGAGAGAAGCCATTTAAATGTTTGCAGTGTGAAAAGAGCTTCAGTCACAAGAGCAGCCTTATTAGTCATCAGGCAACTCACACAGGAGAAAAGCCATTTAAATGTTTGCAGTGTGGAAAGAACTTCAGTCACAAATGCAACCTTATTAGTCATCAGGCAACTCACACAGGAGAAAAGCCATTTAAATGTTTGCAGTGTGAAAAGAACTTCAATCAAAAGAGCAACCTTATTAGTCATCAGGCAACTCACACAGGAGAGAAGCCATTTAAATGTTTGCAGTGTGAAAAGAACTTCAGTCACAAATGCAACCTTATCAGTCATCAGGCAACTCACACAGGAGAGAAGCCATTTAAATGTTTGCAGTGTGAAAAGAGCTTCAGTCACAAGAGCAGCCTTATTAGTCATCAGGCAACTCACACAGGAGAGAAGCCATTTAAATGTTTGCAGTGTGAAAAGAGCTTCAGTCACAAGAGCAGCCTTATCCATCATCAGGCAACTCACACAGGAGAGAAGCCATTTAAATGTTTGCAGTGTGGAAAGAGCTTCAGTCACAAGAGCAGCCTTATTAGTCATCAGGCAACTCACACAGGAGAAAGGCCATTTAAATGTTTGCAGTGTGGAAAGAGCTTCAGTCAGAAGAGCGGCCTTATCCATCATCAGGCAACTCACACAGGAGAGAAGCCAATTAAATGCTTTGATTGTGGAAAGAGCTTCAGTCAGAAGGGATCCCTGTTTCGTCACCAGACAACTCACACAGGAGAAAAGATATTTAAATGCCTGGAGTGCAGGAAGAGCTTCAGTCAAAAGGGAATTCACACAAGGAGAAAGGCCATTTAAATGCTCAGTGTGTAGAAAGAGTTTCAGATACTAGTCACATGTTGTTTGTCACCAGGTGACTTATAGCAGAGAGAAAAAACAGAGTGTGGAAAGAGCTGCAGTTGAAATACAAACTTTCTTTTTTTAATTGTCAACCCAAACGGAAGAAATGGGGTAAATGCGTGATTATTTGTCATAGAAACACTGAGATAAAATGCTGTGGCTTTTGAGGGAAATAATAACCTGATCAAATTTCTTTTATGTAATATCTCATTAAGCATAAATGATATTTTGAGAACTAAAGAAAGACTTTTGAGGGTATTTTTATGTATTCGCGCATTACTGGTTACTGCAACTATTTCCTGTCATGTATATTCAGGGTGAAAAATACTATTAATTGAAAAGTTTGATGAGAAGTGTGGGAATGGGTTCGATTCATGACTGACAGCCCTGTGTATCCTGCAATTCTACATATGTGAGGCTGCGTTTTCTTTTAAGTACTATCTAATAAAACATAACAGATAATTTTTTTCTATCAATTCATTCATACTGGTTACTGTGAATATTTCTTGTCCTATCTATAACATATAATTAGAAGATTTATTACAGCTGTGTTTGTATTCAATCTCAAAATATACATGGCGTTAAAATATATAGGTGAGAATTAGTTTATCCTGAAGAAAAGGCATGTTTAGATTTCTAAGTTAATTCTGTATGTTTGGATATTAATTGAATAAAATTAATAAAATTAAATATTTGCTGAAGTCTAAAGTGTTTCTCAACCTGAGAGTTGGGGCCCCTGGGGGAGTTGTGAAGGGGTGTCAGAAGGGTCGCCAAATACACAGTATTTTCTGTGGTCATGGGAGTTCTGTGTGGGAAGTTTGGCCCAATTCTATCATTGGTAGCGTTCAGAATGCTCTTTGATTGTAGGTGATTGAGAGGGCAGCAGCAGAGCAGTTGCAGCAATTCTTAGACGACACAGCCGGACTAGATCCCTTCCAGTCCGGCTTCCGTGCAGGACATGGGACAGAGACTGTGCTGGTCTCCATCACGGATCGCCTTCGATGCCAGCTTGACCAGGGCGGATCGGCGCTGCTTGTGTTATTTGATCTCACAGTAGCATTTGGCACAGTCGACCACAATCTTTTGACCCATCGCCTTGCTGTTGATGGAGTCAGGGGGACATCTTTAAATTGGCTGTCCTTCTTTCTTCACAACCGTGGACAGCGAGTGGAGAGGGGAGGCTTGGTCTCTGAGAGGTCCCCTCTATCTTGTGGGGTTCCTCAGGGGGGCATTCTCTCCCCTCTGTTGTTTAACATCTATATGCGACCACTTGCTCAGCTGGTTCGAGGTTTTGGGCTTGAGTGTTACCAGTACGCTGATGACACTCAGCTGGTGCTGAAGATGGAAGGCCGACCGGACTCTGTACCCGATTGTTTCCATCAGTGCCCCGAGGCCGTGACTGGATGGCTGCGTGCCAGCAGGTTGAGGGTGAATCCAGCAAAGACGGAGATCCTATGGCTGTTGTTGCAATGCAGTGTGAGCCCTGCCACATGCATAATGGTGGATCCTCTCACAGTGACACCAGAGGCACCCCAAGTGGCCAGCTTCTGGACAAAGGACATTTAGCATCATGCCAAGATTGTAATTTTTCTGTAACTATTCTCAATTTGCTTCTGATACAATAAATAAAAAATTCAACTATTTTCAGCCGACTCAGGAGGGATCCTTACCCACTGAGATGGATGCTCTGTTACCATCTTGCACAGCCCATTCGTTCTTTACCTCGACTGTCTCTTTCTCAAACATGTTCTGTATCGAGGACAGGAAAGAAAAAAAGTAAATTAAGAAAAGGACAAAGTCTGGTGGACTACTATGCATGGTGTCCAGAAAAAGGAGGAAAGCAGTGGGGAGTTTTCCAATACCGGAAAACCTCCATTATTTATTTATTTATTTTTATTTATTTGCCATATTTATACCCTGCCTTTCTCTACTTCAGCAGGAGGACTCAAGGACTCAATGGCACATACACAGTGCCTCAAAACAACAAATTCGCCTAAAAATAGTTTTCTAAGATCTACAGAGACACTCGCCGAAACACCTCAGCAAGCGAGAGTCCAAAAGTGGCAGGCTAAAACCCAGAATATCAAGGCAGAAAATCCCAATGTATTTGATTGTGGACTCAGATAACCCAGTTCAAAGCAGATATTGTGGGATATTCTGCCTGGATGTTCTGGGATATAGGGCTGTGTGGAAGGGACCCTAGAGGGGCTCCCAGGCAGAGGGCCCTTCCACACAGCCATACAACCCAGAATATAGACAGATAATCCCACAATATCTTTTTCGAACTGGGTTATCTGAGTCCACACTGCCATATATCCCAGTTCAAAGCAGATAATGTGGGATTTTATTCAGCTGTGTGGAAGGGGCCTGAGAAAATCAAGTCTGTATATTGTGCTTTCAGATCCCTGCTGATTTATCTCTATCTGTGAATTACATATAGTTTCTTAGGCAAAGAATATTCAGAGGTCATTTGGCCAATTCCTTCTTCTGAAGCACAGATTTATTATTTATTTATTATTTATTTGGGGTGCTTCTACCCCGCCCTTCTGAAACCCTTGGGGGGGACTCAGGGCGGCTTACAAAAAAAGGCACAATTCGATGCCCAACAATTCACAAAGTACAATATACAATTTAACATCAACAATTGTCACTAGTTAAAACATCACAACAATACAATAACAGTAATAAAATCATCCTGTGGCCAATGTTCGCCGATTTATAATTCCATAATCCATCCAGCATTGTCACTGTCCTTTCCTGCTCTGGTCGTCCTTCTCTTTGTCCATCTGCCAGCTTACATCCAGGTTTTTAACTTCCTCCTGAAGGAGAGGAGGGATGTTGATGACCTAATTTCCCCGGGGAGTGCATTCCACAGGCGAGGGGCCACCACCGAGAAGGCCCTGTCCCTCGTCCCCACCAGCCTCACTTGTGATAAAGGTGGGGCCAAGAGCAGGGCCTCCCCAGAAGATCTTAAACTGACTGGAATTGTCAGAAGAATATTTTATTTATTTATTTATTTATTTATTTATTTATTTACTTTGCTTGTATACCGCAGTTTCTCAGCCCGTAGGCGACTCAATGCGGTTCACAAGAGCAAAAGTCAATCGAACAACATACAATATTTAAACCATTAACAGCATAATATACAAAATAATGACACATCAATAACAACACATCAACGTCTCGTAACTAAAATCGTGATCCAATTCGTCATCCATAATTCCGTTTCCTATACTCATCGTTCATTGCACTATTTATCCGAACGCCTGTTCAAACAGCCAGGTTTTTAGTTTTCTTCGAAACACCGTTAACGAAGGGGCTGATCTAATGTCCATGGGAAGGGCGTTCCACAGCCGAGGGGCCACCACCGAGAAGGCCCTATCTCTCGTCCCCGCCAGCCGTGCCTGTGAAGCAGGCGGGATCGAGAGCAGGGCCTCCCCGGACGATCTCAAAGTCCTGGTGGGCTCGTAGGTCGAGATGCGGTCAGATAGGTATCTTGGGCCGGAACCGTTTAGGGCTTTATAGGCCAACGCCAGCACCTTGAATTGAGCCCGGTAGCAAATCGGCAGCCAGTGGAGCTGGTACAACAAGGGCGTTGTATGCTCCCTGCGTCCCACTCCTGTTAGTATCATGGCTGCTGCTGTGATAAAGGTGGGGCCGAGAGCAGGGCGTCCCCAGAAGATCTTAAACTGACTGGAATTGTCAGAAGAATATAACAACAATCACCTATTTTCCTGGGTGAGTTGAACAATGTCCATAACATGTGGATATTATGCTTCAAAACAGTCCTTGGAATTACTAAGATGAATTTGCCTCACCTGGGGTTTCTCCTGCTTTCTCTCCTCTTGGGCCCGACTCAGGAGGAATCCTTCCGCCAAGGCCACGGCCTGGGAACTGGTCTCTGCCCCACATTCCCTCACCCAGCGCTCCATCTCCGCAGGAAGGACGGCCAAGAACTTCTCCAGGATCACCAGGTCCAGCATCTCCGCCTTGGAGTGTCGCTCGGGCTTCAGCCACAGGCGGCAGAGAGAGTGGAGGCGGCTGCACACCTCTCGGGGTCCTGCAGCCTCATTATAGGAGAATTGTCTGAAACCTTGTTGTGCGCCTGAATCCCACTCCTCGTCCCCCGGTTCCTTCTGCATGGCTCCTCCAAAGAATTCTTCTGTACGCTGAACTGGAACAAGGCCAGGCCCTTCTCCCAACTCAGGGCTCTCTGCAAGCATGGCAATCTTGGCCTTCCACCTGCTCCCAAAGACAGATGTCCACTGTCCTGTCCTGTCCTGAATCATTCCCTATCTTTTTCTCCTTTGGCCTTCCATGGAGGGCAGAAGCAGCTTGGCCTTCCTATCATTCAGCAGGGCTACACTAAGGAGGCATCAACAAATGCAATGTATACAGAGATGTTCCTCCATCCGAGAAGGTGATACCTGCCTGTCTCAGGTATCCCCCATCTGTTGCTCTTGGCTTTAGCCCGGCCCCTTCCTGCTATGATGATGCTCCTTTCTAGAGCGGAGTTGGAAGCAGCCACAGGAGCATCAGATGGACTACATTGAAGAGCTTGGCGCCACCTTTCCACTGGAGGACTCGAGCTGGAAAGGGGAGCAAGACATGGAGAGGGAGTTGCCAGATGTACAAGCTGGAGGAGCAGGAGGCCAAATGGAGAAAGGCGATGTGCGGGGCTTGAGGAATGCAAAGCTGGGGTGAAAATTGCTGGAAGAAACATAAACAACCTCAGATATGCAGATGACACCACTCTGATGGCCGAAAGCGAGGAGGAGCTGAGGAGCCTTCTAATCAAGGTGAAAGAAGAAAGCGCAAAAGCCGGGTTGCAGCTAAACATCAAAAAAACCAAGATTATGGCAACAAGAATGATTGACATCTGGAAAATAGAGGGAGAAAATGTGGAGGCCGTGACAGACTTTGTATTTCTAGGTGCAAAGATGACTGCAGATGCAGACTGTGGCCAGGAAATCAGAAGACACTTACTTCTTGGGAGGAGAGCAATGTCCAGTCTCGATAAAATAGTAAAGAGTAGAGACATCAGACTGGCAACAAAGATCCGCCTAGTCAAAGCCATGGTATTCCCTGTAGTCACCTACGGATGTGAGAGCTGGACCTTAGGGAAGGCTGAGCGAAGGAAGATCGAGGCTTTTGAACTGTGGTGTTGGAGGAAAGTTCTGAGAGTGCCTTGGACTGCGAGAAGATCCAACCAGTCCATCCTCCAGGAAATAAAGCCCGACTGCTCATTGGAGGGAAGGAGACTAGAGACAAAGTTGAAGTACTTTGGCCACATCATGAGGAGACAGCAAAGCCTAGAGAAGACAATTATGCTGGGGAAAGTGGAAGGCAAAAGGAAGAGGGGCCGACCAAGGGCAAGATGGATGGATGGCATCCTTGAAGTGACTGGACTGACCTTGAAGGAGCTGGGGGTGGTGACGGCCGACAGGGAGCTCTGGAGTGGGCTGGTCCATGAGGTCACGAAGAGTCGGAGACGACTGAACGAATGAACAACAACAAATGGGCAAAGGAATTACAACAGAAAAACAGCAGAGAGGAAACAACCAGGCACATCTTAACACCTCTCAACAAAAGATTCCCCAGGCTCAGCCAGGCCTTCAAAATGCTAATGAAGGTGGTCAGTTGAAACATTCACACATAGCTCCAGCAGAGAAGAGCTCTTGGCCCCACCCTGTTCATTCCACAGATATATAAACCCCTATTTCCTAGTTCCAACAGACCTCACTACCTCTGAGGATGCTTGCCATAGATGCATGAAACGTCAGGAGAAAATGCCTCTAGAACATGGCCATATAGTCCGAAAAAAACCACAAGAACCTAATGTTCCCTCACTTATTGCGGGTGTTAGGTGCCAGAATCACCCGCGATAAGTGAAAATCAGCAATGTAGGGAAGCCCAGGATGGATGAGAAGGCGGCTCGCTTTGTTGTTCATTCGTTCAGTCGTCTCCGACTCTTCGTGACCTCATGGACCAGCCTACGCCAGAGCTCCCTGTCGGCCGTCACCACCCCCAGCTCCTTCAAGGTCATTCCAGTCACTTCAAGGATGCCATCCATCCATCTTGCCCTTGGTCGGCCCCTCTTCCTTTTGCCTTCCACTTTCCCCAGCATAATTGTCTTCTCTAGGCTTTCCTGTCTCCTCATGATGTGGCGGCGGCTCGCTACCGAAAGCCTATTTGTAGGGCCAGCTTCTTATCGGACATAACGAATTTGTATTGTCGAAGGCTTTCTTGGCCAGAATCACTGGGTTGTTGTAGGTTTTTTCGGGCTATATGGCCATGGTCTAGAGGCATTCTCTCCTGACGTTTCGCCTGCATCTATGGCAAGCATCCTCAGAGGTAGTGAGGTCTGTTGGAACTAGGAAAAAGGGGTTATATATCTGTGGAATGACCAGGGTGGACAAAGGACTCTTGTCTGCTGGAGCTAGGTGTGAATGTTTCAACTGACCACCTTGATTAGCATTAGATGGCCTGACAGTGCCTGGAGCAAACTTTTGTTGAGAGGTGATTAGATGTTCTTGTTTGTTTCCTCTTCTGTTGTTGTGCTCCTTGATACCATATAACCATGCAGCTGTGGACAAGATCTACAGAGGGACCACCAAACGCAGCAGCATTGCCCAACACACGAATCAAGGAGAACATGAATGTTTCAGCTGACCACCTTGATTAGGAAATAATGGCCTGACAGTGCCTAGGGCAAACTTTTGTTGAGAGGTGATTAGATGTCCTTGTTTGTTTCCTCTCGTGGTGTTGTTGTAATTTTAGAGGTTTTTTTAATACTGGTAGCCAGATTTTGTTCATTTTCATGTTTTCCTCCTTCCTGTTGAAATTGTCCACATGCTTCTTGTGTATTTCAATGGCTTCTCTGTGTAGCCTGACATGGTGGTTGTTGGAATGGTCCAGCATTTCTGTGTTCTCAAATAGTATGCTGTGTCCAGGTTGGTTCATCAGGTGCTCTGCAGTATTAAAAAAACTCTAAAATTACAATAGCACGACAACAGAGAGGAAGCAAACAAGGACATCTAATCGCCTCTCAACAAAAGATTGCTCCAGGCACTGTCAGGCCATCAAATGCTAATCAAGGTGGTCAGTTGAAACATTCACACCTAGCTCCAACAGACAAGAGTTCTTTGCCCCACCCTGGTCATTCCACAGATATATAAACCCCTTTTACTAGTTCCAACAGACCTCACTAGATATTGACAAGCTGGAATGTGTCCAGAGGAGAGCGACTAAAATGATAAAGGGTCTGGAAAACAAGCCCTATGAGGAGCGGCTTAAGGAGCTGGGCATGTTTAGCCTGAAGAAGAGAAGGCTGAGAGGAGATATGATAGCCATGTATAAATATGTGAGAGGAAGCCACAGGGAGGAGGGAGCAAGCTTGTTTTCTGCTGCCCTGGAGACTAGGACGCGGAACAATGGCTTCAAACTACAAGAAAGGAGATTCCATGAACATTAGGAAGAACTTCCTGACTGTGAGAGCTGTTCAGCAGTGGAACTCTCTGCCCAGGAGTGTGGTGGAGGCTCCTTCTTTGGAGGCTTTTAAAGAGAGTCTGGATGGCCATCTGTAGGGGTGATTTGAATGCAATATTCCTGCTTCTTGGCAGAATGGGGTTGGACTGGATGATGACCCATGAGGTCTCTTCCAACTCTTTGATTCTATGAGTCTATCTGCAAATGTTGTGTCGGGGGGGGGTTGTGTGTTCCAAGGGACCTATTCCACTCCATCTGGAGTCCTCCAGTGGAAAGGGGGCGCCAAACTCTTCCATACAGCCCTCTCCAAGGTACCTGTGGCTGCTTCCCACTCTGCTCTAGGAAGGAGCATAAGTGTAGTAGGAAGGGGTGGGGCTATGGCCAAGAGTGACAGCTGGGGAACAGCCTGCCTCCTTCTCAGTCCCTTTTTTGGCAGGGAGAGGAGGAAGAGAGCAAGGAAGTGAGAGAGTTCAATGGTGGGGTGAAAGGGTCAGATAGGGAGATCATTCAGGGCAGAGCAGTCCATGTGGGGACATGTTCCAGGCTGAGATGCCCATGCAGGGAGTGGGCCCAGAATTGGGAGAAGGGCCTGGTCTTGTCCAGGCTGAGCACAGGGGGGAATTATTGGGAGGAGGCATGCAGAAGGAACTGGGGGGACAGGAGGGGGATTTGGGGGCACAACAAGGTTTCAGGCAGTTCACCTACCAGGAGGCCTTGGGGCCCCGAGAGGCCTGCAGCCGCCTCCACTCTCTCTGCCGCCTGTGGCTGAAGCCCCAGCGACACTCCAAGGCGGAGATGCTGGACCTGGTCATCCTGGAGCAGTTCCTGGCCGTCCTTCCTGCCGAGATGGAGCGCTGGGTCAGGGAATGTGGGGCAGAGACCAGCTCCCAGGCCGTGGCCTTGGCTGAAGGATTCCTCCTGAGTCGCGCCCAAGAGGCGAAAGAGAGGGAGACACAGGTGAGTGGCAACAGCTCCATTGATATTATTCAAAAACACAGTCTTTCCTCAGGTAGGTGTGGACCTTTCCTTCTGCAAAGGTCCTGCAACTGCCAGGGCACATTGGTTCCGGCCCAGTTTACCTGTCCGAATGTATCTCCCTCTACGAACCACCAAGGACCTTAAGATCATCCGGCGAGGTCCTGCCTTTGGTCCCAACGCCATCACAGTCGTGTTTGGTGGGGACGAGATACAGGGCCTTCTCCGTGGTGGCCCCTCGGCTGTGGATCTCCCTCCCTTATGAGATTAGACACTTGCTGGAACACCTCAACAAGCGAGAGTCCAAAAGTGGCAGGCTAAAACCCAGAATGTCAATGAATGGCATTTATTTGTTTATTTATTTACCGCATTTGTATACCGCCTTTCTCAGCCAGAGGTGACCCAAGGCGGTTCACAGAGAGGCAGGGCCTTCTCCGTGGTGGCCCCTCGGCTGTGTATCTCCCTCCCTAATGAGATTAGACACTGGCTGAAACACCTCAGCAAGCAAGAGTCCAAAAGTGGCAGGCTAAAACCCAGAACGTCAATGAATGGCATTTATTTATTTATTTACCTCATTTGTATACCGCCTTTCTCAGCCAGAGGCGACTCAAGGCGGTTCACAGAGAGACGGGCCTTCTCCATGGTGGCCTCTCGGCTGTGGATCTCCTTCCCTTAAGAGATTAGACACTTGCTGGAACACCTCAGCAAGCGAGAGTCCAAAAGTGGCAGGCTAAAACCCAGAACCTCAATGAATGGCATTTATTTATTTATTTAGCACGTTTGTATACCGCCTTTCTCAGCCAGAGGCGACTCAAGGTGGTTCACAGTCAGTAGCGATTCGATGCCATAACAAATATCAAAATACAGTTAAAACAGGGTTGTTGTAGGTTTTTTTGGGCTATATGGCCATGTTCTAGAAGCATTCTCTCCTGACATTTCGTGCATCTATGGCAAGCATCCTCAGAGGTAGTGAGGTCTGTTGGAACTAGAAAAGTGGGTTTATATATCTGTGGAATGACCAGGGTGGGGCAAAGGACTCTTGTCTGCTGGAGCTAGGTGTGAATGTTTCAACTGGCCACCTTGATTAGCATTTGATGGCATGGCAGTTGTTTGGTGTGGCTTGTTAGTGCCTGGGGCAATCTTTTGTTTGGTGTGGCTTGTTAGTGCCCCAGGAATATTGTATCCAATTCTGGGCACCACAATTCAAGAGAGATATTGACAAGCTGGAATGTGTCCAGAGGAGGGCGACGAAAATGATCAAGGGTCTGGAGAACAAGCCCTATGAGGAGCGGCTTAAGAGCTGGGCATGTTTAGCATGAAGAAGAGAAGGCTGAGAGGAGACATGATAGCCATGTATAAATATGTGAGAGGAAGCCACAGGGAGGAGGGAGCAAGCTTGTTTTCTGCTTCCCTGGAGACTAGGACGCAATGGAACAATGGCTTCAAACTACAAGAGAGGAGATTCCATCTGAACATGAGGAAGAACTTCCTGATTGTGAGAGCCGTTCAGCAGTGGAACTCTCTGCCCCGGAGTGTGGTGGAGGCTCCTTCTTTGGAAGCTTTTAAACAGAGGCTGGATGGCCATCTGTCAGGGGTGATTTGAATGCAATATTCCTGCTTCTTGGCAGAATGGGTTGGACTGGATGGCCCATGAGGTCTCTTCCAACTCTTTGATTCTATGATTCTATAGAAACTCATCTACCTTGTTGACTGAGGTTTTACAGTATTGGAAAACTCCCCACTGCTTTCTTCTATTTTTGCAAACTGTGCAAAGTAGTCCACCAGACTTTGTCCTATTCCTAACTTACTATTTTTCCTTCCTGTTCTTGGTGCAGAACATCTTTGCGAAAGAGACCGTAGAGGTGAAGAAGGAGTGGGCCGTCCAAGATGGCGACAGAGCATCCACCTCAGTGGGTAAGGATTCCTCCCAAGTGAATCCAAAAAAAGCATCAAACAAGGCTACTACTGGGTTTTTGTAGGTTTTTTCGGGCTATATGGCCATGTTCTAGAGGCATTTTCTCCTGACGTTTCGCCTGCATCTATGGCAAGCATCCTCAGAGGTAGTGAGGTCTGTTGGAACTAGGAAAAAATGGGTTTATATATCTGTGGAATGACGGGTGGGGCAAAGAGCTCTTGTCTGTTGGAGCTAGGTGTGAATGTTTCCATTCCACTTCTTTGCCAGCATACTGGCAGTTGTTGTTGTTGTTCATTCGTTCAGTCGTCTCCGACTCTTCGTGACCTCATGGACCAGCCCACGCCAGAGCTCCCTGTCGGCTGTTACCACCCCCAGCTCCCTCAAGGTCAGTCCAGTCACTTCAAGGATGCCATCCATCCATCTTGCATTTGATGGCCTGGCAGTGCCTGGGGCAATCTTTTGTTGAGAGGTGATTAGATGTCCCTGATTGTTTCCTCTCTGTTGTTTTGCTGTTGTAATTTTAGAGTTTTTTTTAATACTGGTAGCCAGATTTTGTTCATTTTCATGGTTTCCTCCTTTCTGTTGAAATTGTTCACATGCGGCTTACATGAGGCCAAGCACAACAAAAATACATCAGTAAAAAACAACAAAGCACGCAAGCAAATAAAACACAATACAATATCATAAATATTATTTCAGGACCATTGGCTGTTAGTTTTATATTTTGTTTTATGCTGTTGCTTATATATTTTAATGTCTTTATTTTAAGTATATTGATTATGCTTTTCCCCATGGAAGCCGATCTGAGTCCCTTTGGGGAGATTATTATTATATTATTATTCTCAACCAAATTTCCAAGACTTTTCCTGAAAAGGTTAAGATTCAGTCAGCTGTTTAGTTCTGCCTAGTCTTCTTTCTATCTTCAGATACTTTGATTAAAATGCATTTCCATTTGATTCTGCTATTACCTTCCTATTTGTATATTTTATTTATTTATTTATTTGCGACATTTATATGCCTTCTTCTCACCCCGAAGGGGACTCAGAGTGGCTTACAAATAAAAAGTAAATACAATATATTATATTATTATCATAGCACAATATTAATATTATATATTACATCGTACTATAACATTATACTGTAATATTATTAGTAATATTACATTTAATATAAAATATATAATTATAATATCATTTTATTATTAGTAGTAGTATAGTGTGTTACATTATAATATTATCAATATTATACATATATATCAGTGTTTCTCAACCTTCTTAATGCTGCGACCCCTTAATACAGTTCCTCATGTTTTGGTGACCCCCAACCATAAAATTATTTTTGTTGCTACTTCATAACAGTCATTTTGCTACTGTTATGAATCATAATATAAATATCTGATATGTAGTATGTGTTTTCATTCACTGCACGAAATTTGGCACAAATACCCAATATGCCCAAATTTGAATATTGGTGGGGTTGGGAGGGAGGTTGGTTTTGTCATTTGGAAGTTGTAGTTGCTGGGATTTATAGTTCACCTACAATCATAGAGCATTCTGAACTCCACCAACAATGGAATTGAACCAAATTTGGCACACAGAACTCCCATGACCAATGTAAAATAGTGGAAGGGTTTGGTGCGCATTGACCTTGAGTTTTGGAGTTGTAGTTCACCTAGATCCAAAGAGCACTGTGGAATCAAACCATGATGGATCTGTACCAAACTTGGTACGAACACTCAATATGCCCAAATGTGAACACTGGTGGAGTTTGGGGGAAAATAGACCTTGACATTGGGAGTTGTCGCTGCTGGAATTTATAGTTCACCTACAATCAAAGAGCATTCTGAACCCCACCAACCATTGAATTGGGCCAAATTTCCAAACAGAACCCCCATGTCCAACAGAAAATACTATGTTTTCTGATGGTCTTTGAAAATCCCAATGACCAACAGAAAATACTATGTTTTCTGATGGTCTTTGGCGACCCCTTTGACACCCCCTCGCGACTCACCCAGGGTTCCCGACCCCCAGGTTGAGAAACGCTGATATATACATTATGTTATGTTATGTTATGTTATAGCATAGTGCAGGAGACAAGATGGAACTGCCTTCCTGGCATCTCTCTTCATTCTGATCTCAGAGCACATATATAGGGGGGGGGGGGGGGTGTCCCAACTGATGACAATGCCATTGGAAGCACCCCACAAAACCCTACCAACAGTGACCACAGCACATATATAGGGTACAAATATTCTGAAGTTAACCTTCTCCAAAAGCCAAGTCATCTACTATTCTAGATTTCTTGTGTTTCAAAGGAAGGGCCTTTCCATTCCCACATATTAGGGTAAGGGTCCTCAAACTTTTTAAACAGAGAGCCAGGTCACAGTCCCACAAACTATATATATGTGTGTGTGTGAATGCTTTTTGCTCTCTGCCCATTGCAGAAATATTAAATCAGAAATAGAGAGTGTGGTAAACAATACTCTTTGATCCCTTCTGTTTTCTTTACAGGAGGTGCAACATGTGCACGGCCAAAAGCATCTCTTCACATGGATGGACCTCAAACAGTTCCTATGAAGCTGAACCAGGTGAGGGGGCAGGATTCTTGTTGGGGGGAGAAGAGGGTTGGCTGGGTGCTCATGTCGTTTGAAGATGGCCCCATTCTTAGCAGAACTTCCGACAGACCTTTCAACACCACGACTCATGGGTAATGTCTTTTTAATTCAGGTGGCATTTGAAGAGGTGGCTGTGGATTTCACGGAGGAGGAGTGGGTCTTGCTGGCTCCAGGCCAAAGGGCCCTCCATGGAGAAGTGATGGATGGGAATTTGAGGATGGTGGTCTGTCTGGGTAAGACCCCTTTCTCCTTCCTTTCTAATCAATTTTGCAATTTTTCATGCTCTTCTTCAGCCTTCCTGCATTTGTCACGTACAGGCTAACTCTAGTCCAGAAACCGAAATATCTCAAAAGTCTAGAAGCTTTAGTCAGAATAACAGAGTCAAATTGAGTACAAAGTGATTAGGATTGAAGGATTAGGTGTTATATTGTACAATATACAGTTTTAATTATGAATTTTAAACGTGTGTCCTGTTTTTAATCTCTGTTATCCTATCCTACAATCAAAGAACATTCTGAACTCCGCCAATGATGGAATTGAACCAAATTTGGCACACAGAACTCCCATGACAAATGTAAAATAGTGGAAGGGTTTGGTGGGCATTGACCTTGTGTTTTGGAGTTGTAGTTCACCTACATCCAGTGAGCACTGTGGACTCAAACAGTGATGAATCTGGACCAAACTTGGCATGAATACGCGAAATATAAAATGTGAACAATGGTGGAGTTTGGGGAAAATAGACCTTGGCATTTGTGAGTTGTAGTTTCTGAGATTTATAGTTCACCTCCAATTGAAGAGCATTCTGAACCCTACCAACGGTAGAATTGGGCCAAGCTTCCCACACAGAAACCCCATAACGAGCAGAAAATACTGTGTTTTCTGATGGTCATTGGCAACCCCTCTGGCTTGAGAAACGGTGCTCTAACATCTTTCAGGGAAGATGAAAGACTTGATGGAGCTGGTCTCTCAGGAGAGCCATTATAGAGACTCTGGAGTCACATCTCTCTTTTATGAAGCTCCCATAGTTTAATGCCAATCAATGTCAGCTCAATAATTGTGTTGTGGGTTGTTGTAAGTTTTTTCGGGCTATATGGCCATGTTCTAGAGGCATATTGCTAAGAGTTCTCCTTATTCTGGGAAGGCACACTGGAACAACCACGTTTTCTGGCTCCTCCTAAAGATTGCTAACATTAGACATGCCCCAACGCTGGCAGTCTTTAGGAGGAGCCTGAAAACGTGGTTGTTCCAGTGTGCCTTCCCAGAATAAGGAGAACTCTCAGCAATATGTCCTCACAATGCACTTTAATACTGACTTAGGATGGACTGTGCTCCCTCATTTCTCTCCGAAAAATCCTATCCTAGTTATATTTTACCTTGTTCACGTCAGCATATTTTCAATTTTAATCTATTACATTTGGCCCGGCCATTTTAAAAATTTATGTCACTATTGATTGTTTTTTGTTTATGTGATTTATATGATTTGTATTTTATTGATTGTTTATTGATGTTGTGTTTATTGATGTTTTGTTTGATGTACTTTGGGCTTGGTCTCATGAAAGCCACACCGAGTCCCTTGGGGAGATGATAGCGGGGTACAAATAAAGATTATTATTATTATTATTATTATTATTATTATTATTATTCTCTCCTGATGTTTCACCTGCATCTATGGCAAGCATCCTCAGAGGTTGTGT